TCACAGATCATGGCAGATTTTGCTTTTATAGCAAAGGTGAAATGTGCAGTCATTCGAGTTTTTAGTTATGCTTATGAAATTAAGTCTGATAAATAAAATTATTCTTGTGTTACCTTGAGCAATGTAAACATTTTACAGGTTAAGGTATGCTATTGGAAAAGTAAAAACACTGTTGTACTTTTTCAATATCAGTGTATCTGCTTTTATCTAAATTTTTTTTTGGTACACATGTTGCAGGAACAAGAATTTATTTTCTTCTGGATCAGAATGAATGCTTTAGCAGAGAGGTGTTTCAGGGGACTTTTTGTCTTTCTCTGATTTTACCATACAAAACAGAAAAATGGGAAGTCTTAGACTGCTCTTAGTTTTAATTTGAGATAGYCTTACCTGGGAGCCATCAGGTGTTTCAACTTTTATTTCACCGTTTTGGCCATGAGCCATTCATCTTCGTTGAAAAGATGTTTTTTGGTGAAATTAGCGTCAAAATGGTATGTCAGAAGCATCCATAAAACACTAACTTGTATTTCTGCTGTTTTTTACATCATAGAATAATGATGCAATATTTCTAAATTGAAAAAAATCAAACTGTTCATTCTTTACTTTAAAATAAGGATGTTTTTTTATTGCTGAATGTACAAAGGAGCTAATGCCAAATTATTGTCATGTTTAATCATACTTACGAAAATGTGAGTTAAAAACTTGAAGTTTAAAGTTAAAACTTACAAGTTTACTTTTGGATTTATTTCTGGTATTTGCATTATTTTTATTATTGTATGCCTTTGTATCAATTAAACACACTTGCACCGTTCTTAAGTTCTTTAAGAGCTCTTTTGGAGGTAAGAAGTCATGGCTACATGTTCTTTTTATTTTTTATTTTTGGTTTTATGAAAACTTTTTACGGTTGCATTATGTGGAGCTTGGATGTGATTAAGAACAAGGATGTCCTCTTTCACTTTATAAAACTTTTTTACTTCCTTAGCTATCAAAACAGTCACCTAATTGTGTTTTCTTACGGGAACTAGTCAGGTGAGAATCAAGCATAAGTGTAAAAAAAAAAAATTAAAAAATTACAAATAATTTTTACTAACTTGGGTGTACATTTTAAAGATCCAAGAATTGAAGTTCCACTAACATATTTGCAAAGAGAATATTTATATATTTTGGAAAGCTATATAGTGCTAGCTGAAATTTAATGGTTTTATTTAATACTGCCATAAAGTTAATAAATTATTCAAGTTTTTTGTGTTGCAAGAAGCATCACTGATGTGTGAATTTTAGACTCAGTGAAATTAATTATGATCTCCTGGAAAGTAAATTAAAGATGCAAACTTCTATCAAAAATGCATTAATCTAGTATATACAGGCATAGTATCTCAGACATTCATGAGATCTGCCTCTTCATTAAAACAGACTTCATCAGAAACAAGACATTTTTTAAAGGCACATTCTCTCTTAAACATTGGAGGGTGACTTGTGGAAGTAAGCAGTTTAAAAGCCTGTTTTATTTTATTTCAATGGTTAATTTTAAACCAAAAGGCAAAAGAAATGCAAATGTAAAAAAACGCCCCAGCAGTCTTGAAGGCATATGTAAGCAATACCCAACCACTTTTGATAGAAATGGAGTTGTATTCTTGTATGATTGAATTGCTAAATGCTTTTGCCTAATTAAGTTACTTTTTGAATAACGGTCATTTGTCACCTTCTGTTCTGATTTTGTCCTGAAACTTTCCTTTATCTCTACATCTATGTCTTAACCATGCTAAGACCCAAGTTCACCTTTCTTTATAAGACACCTTTCTTTAGTGCAAGGAGCTGATAGAACTTCAAGAAAAAATTTGAACTTGTAAGTGTAGACAGGAATTGTGACAAACCAGTGAATTATTTAAATGTTTCAGGGTTTTTTGCAGAGCAGTGAATTGCGTTGGTATTAGGACATGATTCTTGGAGTCTGTCAAGCCAAGTGAATTTACATTACAGTGGGGAAAATAATTGATAAAACAAACAGTTGCATAAGGATGATAAATCTCAGGGAGGTGGGGGGACATAGCAAGTTCCCACACTTTTGAGGACAAGCGTAAGAGGGAATCAAAAGGCAAGCAGCTTAGCTGTGTGTACCCTCTGTGGGCTGGAGGAAAATGAAAGTATCCAGYGAAGTCCTTAATATGTATTAAGTCAAGCCTAGCATAATGACATGAAAGAGAGTACTACTTTTTCTCTGGTTCACAAGGTTRTTTAACATTGGAATAGTGGAGTCACCATCCCTGGAGGTGCTAAAGGAAAGACACTCAGTGTCATGGGCTGATTGATAAGTACATGATTAGTCAGAGGTTAGACTTGATAGTCTCATAGGCCTTTTCAACCTCAGTGATTCTGTGAGTCTGTGATTTTTATGTTGACAAAGGGCTCTATGTACAGTTGAAGCTACAAGTGTTATTTTGCTATTAATAGCGTATTTGTCTTGGTAACTGCAGCCTTAAACTATTTTTCCATGCAATTTTTCCATGCATAAACTACCTTTGCATTTAAAATGTCCTGTTCACAGTGCACTGGTAAACTTTTTTTTCCAGCTTGGAAACAAATTCTTAGTTTGTGGATAAGCACAAGAATTAACTTTATTTGTATATTATGTTGTATTAGAGATTGAGGCATGAAATAATACTATGGCTAGCAACTGCAAATTGATTTATCCATTATTATGTTTAGCTTTTTGGTTTTGCTTTTGGTTGTTTTTGTTTTTTGTTTGTTTGTTTTTTGGTTTCCTTTTTTTTTTTTTTTTTTTTTTTTTTTTTTTTTTTTTTTTTTTTTTTTTTTTTTTTTTTTTTTAGATTTTTATTGTATGTCTCCATGCAAAATTTATGTTTTTCTGTAAATCGTGGGGTTTAGAGCATCACAATTCAGGAGGAATGTGAAGGTGCTGGGATTCATCCAGAGGAAGGCACTGAGCTGGTGGAAGGGCTGGAAGGGCTGTCCTGTGAGGGGCAGCTGAGGATTCTGAGTTTGCCAAGTTTGGAGAAAAGGAGGCTGAGGGGGAACTTCACTGCTTTCTGTAGCTTCCTGGGGAGGGTGTTTCAGAGGCAGTCGCATAATGCCCTTAACATTTTTTTTTTGTCAACCCAGAAGTGGTCAGGCAGTTAGACTAGGTGATCCTTACAGGCTCTTTACAGTCCAGAATGTTATGCTGCTCTATTCATAAAAAAACCAGATGTATGATAATTAAATTTCAGAGGGCTTTCTGTTGGCTTGCAGCTAGATCTGTGAATACCTATAAAATTTCCTGGGAYTCCCTGTTAACTGTGTTACACTGTTCCTTAGCTTAATAAACTGAATATGCTAAAATGAAACTATCTTTCACTGTAACACAGTTCTTYCTAAATCATGCTGTATTCTTTTGTCAGCTGCTTTGATCTTTAGCTCTGGTTTATTAAGTTTTYCAAGCATGTTTCAGAAGACTAATTTAGTGTAAATTTGCTTTTATTGTTGCAATATAACACTACTCTAAAATAGTTTATTATGATGATATATTTCTGTACAGGAAAATCACAGGATGGTTTTAATTCATCTTCCATTAGTTGTGTGCTAGGATGATACTTCTCTTGCAGAAGAAATTTATGCTATAAAGCTATAAACTGATAGTCTGATACATGTGGATATTTTTAATGTAATTATCAGTAAAATATTCCTTTGATTTGTTGAAAAGTAAATGAGAATTGAGAAAGAATCATTGGCTATGTGATCTTAATTTGTTGAGTGGAAGGTTCTATTAAAAAAAGAATCAACCCTGACTGAAATGGGAAGAGGTTGGAAACAAATTTGATTTTAAAAAGAGTATTCATCACTTTTATTTTCAGTCTTCATGAAACTATTGCATAATTGTAATTTACTGTCAACTTTTTTTTTATTAAGCTATTTTCATTCCTCTAAAGAAAGTGTTTTAAATTTGTGCTTCAGGCCCCCATATTAATTGCCTTGACAAAATGTATTTTCCCCCTTTGACACAGATTAGATGCCACTTGTGTATCTGTATAGAARCTTGTGTCAAAGGTGATGAGTCTTCTAAATGTTGAGCATTTATACAAGAAAATGAAAAATTACTTAAAACTTTTCCTCTGGAGTTTTATTTTTCTTTTTCAAATTAGAAAGGGTAGGTCTGTATCTTCCTAAGGTAAATGTTTTTTGGCTTTTTTTATTCCTAAAATGAAGGAAAATATATTGTTTCTCTTTCAATAGCCAGAGTTTATTTAAYTATGAAGTGGGGTTTTTTACTAGACTTAAAAATTATTTTTTAGTAGTAAAAGTTCCTGTATTTATATAACTTCTTTGAAACAATATAATTTAATTCCATGACAGCCTAATCCAGTATCCTGTAAGCAGACGCTGTTAGAAGGGCAGTGGCTCTGCAGAACTGAATTGGTAAATCAGAGTGAACTTACTTAGATAATATTTGTCCGGAGTGCCGTCCTCACATGATGTTGAAGCTTTCACAAAATCTTAAAATGTGCATATAAGACAAAAGCTGGTAAAAAGAATAGGAATATGACACTTTAAAGTAAGTAGTAAGTAGACAGATTTAATTTTTCCAGTTATAGTTACAGGTTCTGGGAAGAAAGATGCTTACTCTGTCATGTAAKGTATTACAAAGAGGTTAAAGAATTTTATGAAAGGCCTGAATATGTGGTTAAAATTTCTTTTTCCTTTGCGTCTTACTGATGCACAATTGGTTGCATCCATGTATTCTGTTGAACAAACTTTCTACTACACAAAACATAGCAAACTAAAAATAGAAAGCATAATAATCCTTATGTTTGTATGAAAAAGARACTCCTTGGAAGCTCAGCACTTCAAGCTGTCCATGGTGCATAAAGTTCAGCTTTTTAGGAACAGTCTTCACTTAGCTTTTCCTGGGAAGTGGAAAGAAGGTGGTTCTCTAAGAGACTATTCTCTAGAGATACTAAGAAACCAGTTCTCTAAAGAGACTTCATTTCATATTTTCTTTTTTCTAGGTTGGCTGAAAACTTTTGATGATTACTTCAGAGATCAGACACAGCATATTTTAAATAACATGGTCATAAAACTGCAAGAAGACAACCGAAGGAAATTTATATGGTCTGAGATTTCTTACTTTGCAAAATGGTGGGATGGAATAGACACCCAAAAAAAGGATGCTGTTAAAAGGTTTGAATACTGAACTCTTCTTCCTTGTATCTTGTTTTGAGAGTTTGTGTGCTTGACACTCTCTAATCTTGAGGTTTCACTCTTCTGATGCAGAATTACTAGAGTAATAGACTGCTTCAGTTCTGATTTTTTTTTCCAGTTGCAAAATAGAAATCTGGTCAGAGAAGTGTAGGCAAATTACTGAGTTACCTAAAAATTGAACTAAAATTTTTCATTTACAACCATAAACATGTCATTCAAATTGTAATGGAGTTGTGATTATAATCTTTATTTAAAATCACACTAAGGTATTTGCAGTAAAATAAATGTAATCTTTTGTACTRGCTTTTTATATATGGTTTTCTTTTCTTGTTATAACACATCTGAAGATTCTATGATATTTTTATGAGGTTTTTTTGTTTGTTTAGATATGTGGGTTTTTATAAGCATGCAGCTGATTTAATGGTACAGTAGTGCATACTCTACATACTTGCTCTTCTTAATGATTTTTAAAAATCACAAGTCAAAATGGAATTTAGTAGTAAAAGGTTTGTCTAGGCATTGAGAGAAGGAAGCAGGCTGCTTGGATAAACTTGAAGGATCTAGTTTGGAGTTTTCAAAAAGTGAGGATTTTTGTTTTTCTTATTTTTGCTTGCCTTTAAGACATAATCTGACAGTTCTTAGCTCATCCTTGTGATGGCCTCCTTCTCACACCCCTCTTTGAGATGCATGTGTTGCAGTATGCATTAAGTCTGTGAGATCTTCACAACTGCAAAGTTTAGATAAAGCTGAAAATCTTGGTATCTAAGTAGAAAACTACTTATTAAAAAATTATGTGCAGGCTGTGCAGATTATAGCACAGCTGTATGGTTTTTTGACATTAAAAGTATCCCTTGAAACATAGTAAACAGTAAATGATAGTCACTAGGAAACTGTGTCCTCTCTTCAGATGAGTCATGTATTCGTTAAGCTGCTGTAAGACTTGAAGAAGCTGCACTTGAGATTATTTTTGTTGCATGCTTGTCATTACTTTTGTGAGTATCATCCGTGATGTGACTCAGTTTTGATGAGTTAACTGTGGTTTTCTTTCTTGAATTCTTTAAACAYTTCTGTGTTGTTGTATAGTGGTAGTGCTGAAACTGTAGAAACAACTTGATGGTACGAGTGTGTTCTTTATGTTCACTGACTGGGTCATCCTGTGACTTGTTTCAAGAAGGCATTTTAATGAGTGAGATGTTCTGAAGCCTTTATAGATACAATAAACTTCAAAGATCTTTTGGCTCTCTAAAACTCTAAAAAGAATATTAGATCAAAGATGGGGAGATATTAGTAGTGTTTGAAATGGGCAGAGTGCATCTTGCTCAGCTGGCCTTCAGTGCTGTGGCATATATATTTTTATTTTTGTAATCTATTCAGGAAACAGCCTTCTTCCTTATTTATTAAAAAACCCCAAAATTAATATGGCACATGCAGTAGAGCTGGTTTTCATTGCACAAGAGCATTAAAAACTTCACTGTTCAACAATTCATTTTTTCCCTGTTTGATTGAAGAAATATAGTGCACTGATGGAATCAGCGCAAACAATTTAGATTTTGGCATCACATTACTGGTAAATGCCTGTTGAGTGTACAGAAATTGATTTTAAGAGTGTGTTTCCACATGGAAGATGCTGATGTGATTTTCATATTTTTCAGGTTAATAAAAGAAGGACAATTTGAAATAGTAACAGGAGGATGGGTCATGCCTGATGAAGCTTCTGCTCATTATTTTGCTGTAATTGACCAAGTGATAGAAGGACACCAGTGGCTAGAAAAGAACGTTGGTATGTATATTGATCTAAAATTTAACTATGTTAATRCAAGAAGTCAATAAGAGTATTTATTTTATTTCTGAGGTGCTTAGAAGGCTCTCTTTATTCTGCTTTCCTGAAACATTAAATCAGAGCACTTGCAGGAAGTTATACGATTGAGTCTGGTATTTGCAATTCAATTCCAGCTTGTGGATAGAAGTTCCTGGACAAAGTGTATTTGAGCAATTTTCATGTCATAGCAYTTTGTCTTGATCAATTTAAGACATACTTATTATATTGGCATAACCAAGTATTATCACTAGATCATGTTGAATTTTAGATCTCATGTCATGTATCACAAATCATCTTAAATTGCCTTTTCTGTCTTTGAAAATCATGACAAAAAGTGTCATTAAAGTGTCATTAAAAAATGACACTTCTTTCATGTGTTTAAATCTCTTCTGCCTGGTCTGTATTCATTAGCTTATCTTTTGTAAAGCTTAAAAAAAACCCCCAAAAATACAATCAAACCAAGAAATTTAGATGAGCAGCAGCAGTAGTAGTAGTAGTTATAAAGCCTACACTCATTGTAATATTCAAATTGAGTGAGTACTGACTGCAGTTACATTGGCTTAACAGTTTTGCAGGGTTTCAGATGTTCTTTTGTTTAGTTCCTTAAATGAAGATAAACCTTTTTACATGGAAAATATTTGTAAAGTGATTTTTATAATAAATGGGCATTATTTCATCCAATTAGCTGTAATTATTTTGGAAAGCTGTTTTGCTGTTTTTCTTAGATTGCAATTTCCGTAAACACATCCTGACATAATTGGAGGGGGAAGGGAAGACCTAATAAAAGGGTAATGCATTCCTTACTGTGTTTTTTTTTGAAAGACAGTAAAAACTGCCAAAGGAACCATGTCGATGAAACAAGAGTTACGTGTAGCTTGTTTATTTGCTGGCATGGAATTCAGTGAAAAGAGAGTATTAATCAACATTATTCTATTGATCACCAAACTAATAAATAAAAAAAAATTAGTTCTGAAGTCAAAAAAATATTAACATTTAAGTAACAGTGAAGCTTCAACAAGCTATCTCATTAATCTGTCCACATCCATTCGTTTTCTTTCAACTTTCTTTTCCAATTTTAACATCTGTAAACTGCTTTAGGTGCAAGAAGATTTGTGTTTAATTAATGATTGCCAATGTTTGATGCAAAATTGAAGCAGTGTAGCAACAAGGAGTACTATTTTAAAGTTCTTTATTTTGTTAGAATACCTTACTTATAAGATATTAGATTTGTTTGTTTCTCTGTTTAACTTTAATTTGTTAATTCCAGGGTTCTGCAGGAGGTCTATACTTAATTGAGTGTATCATCTTGGAAATGTTATCTTCAGTGTTCTGATTTCTCAGCTTTCTCTGAATGAAGAGTAAAACTTTTTCCCCTTTTTTACTTTTTTCTTTTGTCAACAGGAGTAAAACCAAAGACAGCATGGGCAGTTGATCCATTTGGGCATTCACCAACAATGGCCTACCTTCTGAAGCGCACAGGATTTAACAATATGCTCATACAGAGAGTTCATTATTCAATTAAAAAGCATTTTTCAACACAAAAGACACTAGAATTTTTTTGGAGACAGAACTGGGGTACGTGTTCTTCCTTTATGTCTATTTATTTTATTAATTTACACAGGTAAAATATGAAGAGAATTTGAATAAGTACTATGTAAATATTTACAGAGCAGATTTAGCAGTTAGTCTAGACCTGAAAATTTTGAACTTGCAATTCCATTAAAAAAGCACCTTTCATCTAGCTTAAATTGAGGAGAATTTTTTTCCTCTTTGAATAACTGAAGGAGAATGAGAATATCTCTAAGTTAGGAGATGTGCTGAACATAAATACAATATTGTTGCCTTTGTTCTGATCTTCTTTTCTCTTCACTTTCATTTTCTCTTTTACCTTCTCTTGTTTGTTCCATTCTCCCATATTCCTTGCACTTATACATAAGAAAAGTAAAAGGGGTGAAAAATTATTTTACTTGTTTTTTTTTTATTTTTTTTTCCCTCCTAGTTCTTGATTTCCTACTAGGTAGAAACAGAGTGTAGGAGAAGGAACATTTTAAATAATTCAAATATGAGGCAGTGACAGCAGGCCAATTGGCTTTTGGTTTTTCCTTTGTCTTGTTTTGATTTTTTAAAAATTATTGTTTTAATCCACTCAAAGTATAAAAAAATATGGTTTTTAACCTCTAAAAATTCTGAAAATCGTAAGTTTTATCTGGTTAAAACACACCTAACATTTGTTCCTGTCTTTCCCAATTAGCTGATGCTTGACTAGAACATTCCAATCTTGGTTGTATCTCTGTTTTTACCCTCTTTATACATGTAAGTTACTTACAAAGGTAGACTCAAGCTATGGATATTCAAAATAAGAGATTTTCATGATGTGGTATTTTCTAGTGCGATCCTTGGACTGAGAACACGGAAGTGATTTAGTTTTGGCAAATCTGAGAAGGTTTATTTTAAAGTTTTACTCTATTTAATTCCAGATTTGGGATCCAGTACAGATATTCTTTGTCATATGATGCCTTTCTATAGCTATGATATTCCTCATACCTGTGGCCCAGATCCGAAAATCTGCTGTCAGTTTGATTTCAAGCGGCTTCCTGGAGGAAGAATAAGTTGTCCTTGGAGAGTTCCACCAGAAGCCATTCATGCTGGAAATGTTCAACACAGGTACAGGTTTTTATATACTCCTTGAGGAAATAACTTCGAAAAAAAGTAATTATGCTGGTCAAAGATGACAGCTGGCATAGCTTGGTGAATTTAGTTCTGTTGTGGTTTAACTATAGCGAACAGCCTAACTCCACTCAGCTCATTGCCCCCATGGTGGAATAGGGTGGAGAATCAGAAAAAACTCTGGGGTTGAGATGCAGGAGAGGCCTTGGCTCTGCAAGCTCTGCTCAGAAATAACAAAATCATCTCTCTGTTGTCAACCCCTGTTATCAGAGCAAACCCAAACCACAGCCCCATACTGGCCACTGTGACTTTACCCCAGCCTAAACAAGTTTAAGTTTTTAAAATAAGCTTGTCATAGGTAAACAATATGTAATACATAATCTAGTGTTTGCTACTTAGTTCAGAACATAACTGCAAACTTATAGTTATAGTTAAGAAATGTGCATTTTTAAAAATGTATGAATGTGAATTAATGATTTAATCTCTGAGTGACAGAACAGTCTTCTGGTTGTAGCCATGTTACTGGGTTACTGTGGTTTTTGTGAATTTTATGAACAGTAATCTGCAGCATGATGTAGCGTGCTGTAACTACAAACAGTGGGATACTTCCCATGGTATATCTTTGAAAAACTTGGCAATCTGTGGCCTAGGTTTCCTGAAGTGCACACCTGAAGTTAATCCGTTTCCTATTTCTTTGTGACCAGGGTGGAAATTCCATTAACCTCAGTTTTACTTTTCAGAAAGGAACATTGAGTTGTTTTGCCACTGTTAAGAATCAAGTTTACACTTCTACAAGGTTGCTTTTCCGGGGCAGGGTGTGGATGTGGAGAGCTGGAGAGGGAGAGTAAAGGGRAAAAAAAAAGGAAAAAGTAAAGAAAGGGAAGTGAGATTAACTGCCAAAGGTTTTTTGAGAAAATTGTTTTATTCTATGGTCCTATTGCTATCTTCAGGCTTCAAACTATCTCAAGTTTCCAGAGTTCAAAGTTGAGGTAGCTGTTTACAATTTGTGCAAATTGTAATTGTGTAATAAATGTATTAAGGAGAGCAGCGTCACTTTTTGGTCCTTGATGCTGAAGTTTTAAAGTGATGATGTGGTGATGATTCGCTGCTTGTCTACATGTCAAGTACGCATCTCTTCTTTCTGAGTACCAATTTTGACAAGTATCATGAAAATTTCATTTCMACAAAATTCAATTACAAAATATTACTGAAGATAAAACCATAATTAAACAGAATACATTTCAATTGCTTTTTTTAAAGGAGAATTTGGAATGATGGTAGAAAAAAGCATTGTGTTTTTTTAAAGCAGAGAAATGAAAGTTGTGGGTGACAGGAGGAAAGTAGAAAAGTTGTGACACACCCAGTGCCTATTGAATGTGATGGAAAGCCCACATGTCATTAAATCAAAGTTGTAAAAAAGAAAAATCTTGACTATATATCTCAATTAGCTGAGACAAATATTTTCAAAGTAGAAACACCTTGTTTAACAAATACCTGAAACGTAGAGGCTGTAGATATAATGTAGAGTATCTGCTTGGGATACTTTTTTAAGGGTCTTGTTTTTTAATTATCTTTAATCCTTGCATTTCCTATGTGCAACCTTTGCATAACAATCTAAATTGGATCTCGTAAAAGAACTGGGTTTTCACATGTTAGAGCATATTAAAGAATAAGATAAATGGGGCAGGTATGTAGTGAGCACATGATCAGGTTGAAGAGATTATAATCTCAATATAGTCTTTGAAACAACATTTTTCATCAAGTTTTTTTTCATAAAAGCAGTTTTGATGTCAACAGGGAGTTGAAACAGTATGCTATATGATACTTATTGGAAAAGTAAAATTAACACATGGTCTTCGAGTTGGAAGCCTGGATTATTTACATTTGGAACACTGGAACTACACTTTTAGTGTCCAGTTTCAAATAAAATGCAGGAAGTAATGTTTTGATGGAGAATCCTGAAACATGACTTGTATTTTATAAAAAAGTTGGAATATTGTAGACAACCAAAAACTTTATTGATCTGACCTCCRTAATAACATGTTTTACAGTTGTTTTGATGAGATGTATGAGTTTCAAAACTGAAAGATCTATCTTTACATCATAAGTTTTCCAAGGTTGAAGGTTTGCAGCACACTAATTAATCTGCCTCTTATCTCTGATGGCTTTAAGACTAGAAAAATACAGGAGATTCATGGATTGGAAAAAAAATTGCTCAATTTAGAGACCCTGTTTAGATCACTGACCTTTCTTCAAAAGGTAGTGATCTAAACTACCTTTTTAGGTAGTAAAACAACAAAATTAGTAAAACCCACATCTTGAATACTCACCAGGGACTGTTGCTTCTGATTTCAATACTATTATGGCCTTATATTTAAAGTGAGTTGAAAACTTCAGGCTAGTAATGGTTGGATTTTTCATTGCCTTGCCAATTATGTTGTGACTTGGTAAGAAGGAATGAAGAAGCACAGCTTAGGTTATAAAAACTACTATTGCATTTGCCCTGATTTGCAGCGGCATCCCTGATTTGCAGCGGCATCCTTATACATATGTTTGAATGCTGAAGCTTTTCACACTAGGAAGAAAAAACAGCTGGTTTTTTTTTTCTGGGTAGTTTGGATTTTTTTTTCCCTTGAATGGAAATGAGTTGTTAGCAGAGGCACAGTTTGTTTCTGTGTGTGTCTCTCCCGAGAATGGAAATGGGAGAGAATCCGTACTGCAAGTTATATGCTTCAGAGAAGTAGAGAATGGACTATTCTCTTTACCAGCTACTGTTGAAGAGCCCAGTTTTTCCCTTCAGCGTTTTTCTTTTTATGGTCACTTTGTGCGATTTGTGTTCAGAGCTACACTGCTATGTGTGATTGGTGGTTAATGCTTGTGATTGCCTAACTCAGGTGGCTACTACTCCTCTTCCTTTAACATAGGAAGGGGCAAAACCTGTCCTGTTTATTGTCTGATGTGTATTTACTCAAATACTTGGATTTTTTGCATTAAAAGAATTGTGGTACAAAATTCTTTGTGGTACAGTTGCGTGGTACAAAGCAGTTTATTTGTGAAGGGTCTCAAGCATTTAGGGATAATCTGAAAGCTTGAAAACAAAAAGTTTCTCATGGCTGATCTCCTGCTTGCTTTTCAAATTTTCATTCAGGTAGGCAGGATAAACATACCAAAATATATCTAATTCTGTTTCGCTGGGGAACAATAAAGGAAAAAAAAAAACTGGGTGAGACTTAGTGGAACCTNTTTTTTTTTTTTTTTTTCAGAGATATATGTATCTATCTTCACCATGCATTTGTCTGGGGCTTGGCATTCTCTCACTGCTGTATAAATTAATTATTTAGCACGGTTTTTTTGAAAGAAACTCAGAAGGGTATGCCTGAAATTATGTTCTTTGGCGTTTTTGCCATTGAAAGTGGTTTGCTATGGAGGAAGATCCTGCTGTTCCCTTATAAATGTAATAATCCCATGGTCATTAGTGCTTTAAGAAAGAGAGAGCAGCAATACTGATAAAGTTTGCGGTATATTTGGAAAGAAACTAGAGGAGGAGTTTGAAGAGAGATGTCAAAGTCAAATATCCTGTTAACTGTAACCTGTATTTTTCAATAGGCTAAAGTATATTTTCAACCATAGCCTACATGTGGCAAATTTGAGTTAGACTGGGTCCTTCGAAGGAAGCATTGCCAAGTYTTGTGTTGTGTCAATTGTTCTGGTAGCTGGGTAGTGAGGAAGCATTTGAGTTTAAATCTTACAACATGCTAGAAGTCACAGAAAGTATTAATTGGTACTCTGAATTATAAATCCACTAATAGGGGACAGGGAGAAGCCACTAGTTGGGTAAATTCTCATTTCATTAGAATGCTGTAGTTCTTTAACTGAAGTTAATATTGTGGCCCCTTTCCTCCCTCCAGAGTACAGTGAGATCTTGTGTCAACACCGTACTTCTGCAGTCTGATAAATAAGTAAGCCCTGACATGCTGTTCAAAGAAACAGGGGTTCAAATATATTGGATTAGAGTTTCTGCGTAAGTGTTTATATAGCAATTCTTAGAGAGCGTGGGTTGAAAGGTGATCTTGCTAGATCATCTATTAAAAAGACATATAGAAACAAAAAAACTCATTAGAACCTAAATTTTCTGCTGTTTTCTCTTTAAAACCTTGACATTTGTATTCTTGTTTTCTTAAATGTGTTACTATGGTTTGTATTTCTTGTGAGAATTATTTACATAATTTTAATTAGAGGCTATCAGCTTCTTCAGATTCTGATAATAACTGTCACTCAGAGGGAGAGAGTTGAAAATGGTCTTTATCGGTAACCTAGACATCAGACTTGCGATTCTTAATATATTGCTGCTGTGCAACTGATAGTTTACATATCCTAGATTGGTTGGGTTGCTTTTTTTTTTTTTTTTTTTTTTTTTTTTTTTTTTTTTTTTTTTTTTTTTTTTTTTTTTTTTTTTTTTTTTTTTTTTTTTTTTAAGGTCAAGGCATAGAAGCAGTGGGCTTAATTTTTCAGGACTCAAAGATTCAAGAAGGGTGGCTCTAAGACACATAATAAGCTGGCTGAAGGAAGAACAGTGATTTTTAGCAGCAAACTTCTTTCTGAATTACTTTTTTTATTTGCAAGGCTGGAGCTCCTCAGAGATTAATTTATGGGAAGTTTTTCTTTCAAGGACATGACAATATGAAGCAACGTATCAAAGGAGGTACTAGAGGGGATGAGAAGAGCTTGCTTATCATTATAAATAGGGGCTGGAGAGGATTAGGATTGTTATCTAAATGTAAAGCAGGTAAACATAATTTGACCTGCTGGTTAGTTTTGGCACAGGCACAAATTGATCTGACTGCCCTAGTGCTTTAGATGAAGCTTGATAAGCTTATTGAAGGATTTAATTTACATGGTATTTGCAACAATAGTAGGCTGAATATGGTATCCCCGTGGGGGGAATTGCATCCAGCTTTTTGTTACAAAGTGAGGTAAARGAGTTTCGTATGTCTTGTTTAGGGTCATCCTAATACACCGCCTTATTTTTAAGAATGGTCTTGCCAAATACTGGCTTTTCTTACTCTGCCTGCTGAATTGCTCTTCTCTTTTTCCCTCCTCAAGGGCCTGGCTTATATTAGATCAATATAGGAAAAAGTCAAAACTTTACCGTACAAAAGTCCTGTTGGCTCCACTTGGGGATGATTTCCGCTACGTTGAGAGTTCGGAATGGGATCAGCAGTACCAGAATTATCAGAAGCTGTTTGATTATATGAATTCTCGTCCTGATTGGCATGTTAAGGTAACTACAACATACTTTCTGGTTTATGGAGAAATAGTGTTTTCCAGTATTCTGAGATTCTTCGTGGAAAAAAGTTGTGGTTAGGTTTGCGGGCTTTTTTCAACTGTGAAACTTTATATATTATGTAACAGCAGATATGTTTACACTTATATGCTTACACTATTTTTGCCTTTATTACCTTCTCTCCACCAAACCAAAAATTTGCTATTAATAACATCAGCTTGAAAACTATAGTTTCCAAACTAGATTAATTTAGAGGTCAGYTATTAGGTTTAATGTTTTCATAGTGCTCCTGTTTTCACTGGTTTCAGGCATTGTTACTTAAAATTCACAAGCTTTGTTACTTAAAATTATTGTATTTTCTTATTAGAAGTTAAAGCAGATTTTGCTRCTTTCTTCTGGGTTCTCTTGGTTTTACATCCCAAAACAAACCAAAAAATCCTAGGACGTGCCATTGTTGGCAGACATTGTTGAATACAATAAAATCTGAGACTGRCCTGGCTACAAAAGAACTGAGTATGCTAACACAATTATCAGATGAGCTAATTCAATCTTCAAATCAACAATTACGTGTGAGAGTTAAAACACATGTTCATGCACTCTAATGTGTAAGCTGATGGCCCTAGGGTCTTCTTGTACAGTAGATATTCTCTGTAGACAGACAAGTTTTCGTCATCTTTCAGTACAGAAGTAACAAATGGGGGACACAGCCTTGGGTTTTCTGAGTACCACGTGAGAGTGCACTATTGCTGCTTTCACGTTCAGAGTTTTTTTAAAACCTGGTGTTGTATCTTTCATATGGTTTGGTGTTATATCTTTCATATGGTATGCATCTGTTTTTCCTTGTCTTTTCTGAGACCTCCTCTGATTCTTCCATCTGTGCATTTGAGTAGTGCCTGTAGTAGGTTATTACTTTCTGCTGACTTCTGTATTTGTGTACTATGTAAGAAAGATGATTTCTTGGATTATATCTTACCTGAAAACTGAGTTTTGTGTGTTTCCTATGGGTTTTGGGTGACACGGTGTATGGTGCCCATTGCCAAGGATTCTAGCAGTCTGCTTCATAGGCTAGGTGTACCTGTCTGGAGTAATGTCTTAGGAATCACATTAGGCCTTGCTCCCCTTATGGAACTTTCCTTTTTTCTGATTTTTAATAACCAGACAAAAAGATATTCAATTCTCTCTGGGTCTGCGACTTCATACCTAGGGTATTTTGATCAGCTGGAGCACTGTTGGCATCAGAACATTTCTCCTTTCCATTTTACTCAGTTACTTAGGTTTTTCTCTCTGTTCTTGTAGGTTTTTTTCTTGTTTTTTTCTCTTGTTTGTTGCTTGTTTTTTTTTTTTTTTAATTTGTCTGATTGTGTTTATTTGTTTTGTTTGAAATTGATGTCATTTATTCTTGAAAATGTGAGCTTAAATGGAGAACTTTCACACTCTTCTGCACTTTCCCTAGTGGACCATAACTCCACAGGCAAGTATCAGGTCATGCTCAGCTGTGTAAGAGCCTAAATTATATAAAGGAAGAGTTCACATTTCTTCCTGAAGTGCTGAGATGCCTGAGATATGACTGCTTACACAAGGGAGTGCCTTACTCTGCCTTTCTGATCTGAAGAGAGATTTACTCTTTCAGACAGCTCTTTGTGATGTTTATCTAGTGGATATGTCTGTTAACATGGAGATTCTCCTGCCAGCCAGTATTTTGTTCTAAAAGTATGTAGTACATCACTGTAACACACACCTATATTACTCTTGAGGAATTCAATCTCCATTCAGAAATCTCCTTTGCATTTATTAAATTAAATTAGACTGAGTCTTTTTGTATGCCAATAGGAAAGTTTACCTGGTTATTTCACTGTTTCCATTCACCTGACTTTGATGCTTCCTTTGGTGAGGTTTTGTTCCTCTGATTCAATGTCTTCTCTTGGTGTATTGGTTTTGTTTTTTGTTTTCTTCTTGTAGGTGTCTGTGATAATGAGTTAAAAGACCAAGTGTCCTAGAAGTGCCTGATAAGGCAAGGTTTACTGATGGTGTGATTTCTGGGCAATACTTACCTTTCTCTGCTTTACTGCCATTTAAAGTGGCAAGTTATTATACTACATTCACCTAAGTAATACTTGTATGATCTGAAAGTCTTTGAAGTGGAAGTGTTAGGGGTTTTTTGAATTATTAAAAAGTGTGGTTTTGTTGTCACAGCGATAGTCTGATAGTCCCTATATTCTAAGTCACTTTTAAAAGATTTGTACTAACATTTCATTGGGGRTTGTTAAATATAATAGTAGTAATTAATAGGAAAAAAAGTTACTTGATATTATCATTGCAGTTTATGGTGAGGATACTTCTGGTAATGTAATGTGATCTGTGCTGCTTCAGATTCCGTTATTTTTTTTTTCTCTCTCGTTAAAAATCCAATTTGCTGTCTATGCCTTSTTTAACAACATTTCTCAATAGTAACAACATTGACATCAGTCTTTTTTTTTGCTTTTTTTTTTTTTGTTGTGCCCCTGAAGCTTGAGGATACCATTTTTTGATGTACACCATAAAGATCTGCTCTTACTGTGTCTGAGCATTTTTAAAAATGATGAGGAGATAATGAATTTTTTTTTACTCTCACGTGTTACATCTCTAAATTCCTTTGAACAGAGTGAAGAAGAGCTAGCCTCTGAAAGCAAATGTTAATTTGTATTTCTTTTATCAGCACTCTKCTTGGGTTAAGCAAGGTCTAGGGAACGAGAGAGTTTTGTAAGCACAGGATTAGGAGACCTGTGCTTTTGTTGCATTACATTTCTTACTTTGTCCACACAGCTACTTGGGTGATATTGAGGTATTACTTAGCTCATGTATTAGAGACTTACTTGTAAAACATGAAATCATACTTATTTCTTGACATCTAGGTATTATTTTATATATCTATTTGTATTTATTAAATAAATAGATCTTTCAGGAAGTGTAGAATTATTTTTGTTGGACAGGATTTACAAAAAGGGGACCTTTGAAGATGTCTAACTGCCCTGCAATGAGCAGAGACATCTTCAATTAGACCAGACTGCCCACAGTCCCATCCAATCCAGTCTAGAATGTTCCCAGAGATGGGGCATCCACAACCTCTCAGGGCACCTTCAGTGTATCATTACTTTTGTATTAAAATTTGTCTTTATATCTAGTCTGAATCGACTCCCCTTTAGTTAAAAACCATTACCTGTTGTTTTAGTACAAGAGGACTGACAAAAAGCTTGTCCCCATCTTTCTTGTAAGGCCTCTTTCTATGCTGAAAGGCTGCAGTAAGGTCTCCCTAGAGCATTCTCCTCTTCAGGCTGAACTACCACACTCTCTCAGCTTTTCCTCATAGGGGAGTTGTTTCTCTGATCATTTTGTGACTCTCCTCTGGACATGCTCCAACTGGTCCATCTCTTTCTTGTACTGAGTTTTTGAAATGTCTTTTTGAAAGTACTTCTTGTGGTCAGTTTTGAAATATCTAAGCTATCTAGCTTGTCTGAAAAGTGTGCAGGGGATCTTTAAAGACTTTTAGGATAGGTTTTCTGCTATAAATCTGCTGGAAGAGTGGTGTTTTTCTGAAATGTGTATGGAACCAAGCGTATTCATTCTCTTTGTGTTTCTGCAYAATGAAAACGGAACTTTGTTACAGTAATTTTTATTTTCATTCAGGCCCAGTTTGGAACTTTATCTGATTACTTTGAAGCTCTGCGCAAAGCAAGCAATTTGGGTGAAAAGAGCAGCAATTCATTTTTTCCTGTTTTGAATGGAGACTTCTTCACCTATGCAGACAGAGATCATCATTACTGGAGTGGGTACTTTACATCCCGACCCTTCTATAAACGCCTGGACAGAATCTTGGAATCCTACATACGGTAAATACTGCCATCCAGTACATTTATAATGTGTTTCTTGGCACATAGGAGAGATAAATGTATAAGTATTGTTGTAGTTAACCCCAGGCAGCTCCTCACTCACTCCCCCAAGAGCAAGGAGTTGTTGGAATTCTCTTGGAGAGAATTGGAAGGGTCAGAGCTGCAAAACTTGTGAATTGAGACAAAGGCAGTTCGATAGGGGAAGCAAAACAACAACGAATTATGCCTGTAGTGTGAACTTTTTTAGAGAAAAGTACAAAGGTGTGAATTTTACAATGGTTTTTAGATGAATCTGGGAAATAGCCAGATGTATTGTGCACCAAGTGACCTCAGACTACTGTTTTTCTGAAAACTGTCTGCATCTTCTTTAAAGAAAAGATTTGTTGCTGGATTTTAGTAATGGAGTATTTAAGTGGTTTTCTCTTTTAGCAGACATAAGATGATTTRACTGTGTTTTAAAGCTCCAGAAAGAAATCCAGGGCAGATGGATATGATGTAAACCCTGAACATTTCATGTACTGCCTTCCTTAAGGATTACAGATTTTTTGCTGTAATGGATGCTGCAGTAGTGGAAGGAGAAAGAAAGGTGTAGAAAGCAGCATTTTGTGATGTGTAAAGCAGTGTTCTGGAGGGAGATACAAGTACCTGTTAGAAGAGAAACTGTAGCAGAACTTGTTTTATTTCTTCCAAGGAATCCAGGTTTTACTGTAGTAAAGTGGATGATTCATCACAGGAATCTTTACTTTTCAGTGAAAAYAGTGTTGTTTAGCACTACTGTTGGAAAACACAAGATGTACAAGAGAGCAGGAAGAGCAAGACAGATAATGTTCTTATAAACAGAATTATCTGGTTAAATTATTTTCATAGCTTTGATTAGTTTCCTTTCTGTTTCCTAAAATGCACCAAGGATTTAGTTTTCTTCAGCTTCATCACAGTCTATTTTTTCAAGATTTTAGGTGTGTTAACATTTTTGTCATTTTTCTGTTTTTTATTACATAGATTGCACAAAACTTTATGTAAGTTTGTATTATTTCAAYTTTCCGCTGTTGAAGAGATTCCTTCATTTAAACCTTTCAATTACATTTAACTTCTGAAAAATGTATAGGTGAAGAATCTCTGGAAAACACTAAACTGTTAATGTTCTTATGTATTAAAGTATAATTTAAAAGAGTACCTGAGATGTTTTTCATTCTACATTACCCTCAGTAAATTACATGTAATAACAAAATGTATAGAAGTATTCTCATAATTTTATTATCAGGTTTTTTGTCAGTTTTGTTTTCAGAAACCATGAGAACCTTCACAAATGCCACATTAGCTATGACAACAGCACAAGTTGGGGTTTTGTCTTTTATTTTTTATTTCCAAAAAAGTCAGAGGAAATGCAGTAGAATAGTATTTAACCCTCAACCTCATGATTAATTTTTCCATAGTATTTTTTAGCTTATAACTATATATATATAAACACACAAATATATGCACATATACATATAACTATCTGACTGGTGTATGTTTATATTTGTGAGGGAATGAGCCATGAACAAGAGGTAAATATGCATGTGTTTGTTACCAAGGATCAGTACTTTTAAGTTCCAGCAGTACCATAATTAATTAGCATTTTGCTGTTATTTAATAGTCAGGAAATAGTGTTCAGCATCAGGTACTAATATGAAAATGAGCCATTCAAGCAAGAAAACAGTTCATTGTTTGGGATTTTCCTGTTTGAAAAGAGTTTTGGGTTTGTGTAGTAAAATGCAGGAAAGCATGAGTATTTTATAATGGGTATTGACATTGATTTGAGACATCATTGACTTTTTAATATTAAGGGAGAGATGGATGAATTGAAGTAGTTTAAAAGGTGATAAAATGTGTGACCAGAAGTTAGTTAATGTAATGAAAATATAACAATAACAACAACATAGTTTGATACAAGTTAGGGACACAATCTGTGCTTTTATTAGTTACTGATGTAAAACAGAAAAAAAAAACCTACAGTAAATCTGCAAAAAAAATATTGTTGGAGTAATTCAGAAGATGGATACTACAGTGGTACTTCTAACTGTACAGATGAGTATTAAATACTACCTCTTGAAAATTCAAAATATCTTGGGAAAATTATTGATTTAAGTTAAATATAACAGGTCCTAAATGTAAGCAACTGTAGGCCTTGACAAAGCAGTGGGGAAAATTTTGGTCTATTTGCCTATGGTGTCCTATCGGCGAGAGATACTACAAATTACAATGAAGTGGAAAATTTGTGAAAACTATTTTCGATCATCTGCAGTAGTTTGAAACAGAGGTGAGAAAACCAAGGCTTGAGACAGCTTTATGGAAAGGTATTAGAGAGATATTTACCTATAAGCTAAAATGTTCTGTAACACTGTGTTTTATTTCTGAGTGTCTTTCCTCTTTGACCATTGAAACATCCTAGTGTTTAGAAAAATATTGGGATGTAGAAGAAAAATTCTGCATCTGAAAGGCTTCCTTATTAATAAAAACGAAAATTTATGTTGGCAGTGGGGAAGGAAATCTCATCTGTATTTTGAGGACTAAAATATGCTGTGTTCTCTTCTTCATAGCTGCAGTTAGGCCAGTGTTTAGTGGGTAGCTCAATTTATTTTAAAAAGGTAAAATTCTTCCAGACAGGATTTATTGATTAGATGAATGTGCATCTGATGCCTTTTTTCAACAAAAATATTTTCATTTTTCTTTCAAATTAAGCTGCAATAGGACAAAGTAGGAGGGATGCATAGAAGTAGGAAATTGCACTAAACAAAATTTAGATTACAGTGATTAAAGTTGATCTAGTGCTAGTAATTATAACTTTTTAACACCTTGATTTTGTGTGTAGCTTCTGAGCATTTACTGAACCTGTAAGAGCAAAATCTCATCCTATTCCTGAACTTTTGCAATATGAAAATGGTTTAGGCTGTTACATGTACAGCACCTTTCAGTTTAATTGGATATGTGGTAATTGCAGCTTTTGCATGACTGTCACCTATGTATTGGATAAAGATGAAGAGAAAAGYGTATCTAAAGGAATTTTTCATCTTAACAAATAATACCATGCATACTCTGAAAAACAAGTGGTTTTGTTAATTTTTTTTGTTGTACCTAATTTCAAATTGAACACATGAACTCACTGGCAACTTAGGTAAATGAAAGAGTCAGCTTATTTTCTTTTCTTTTTTTTTTTTTTAAATCTAATACTTGCATGCCTAGAAGTTTGCATTACAAGAAAATGTGTTATTGTGATTTCTTTGCTTTTTGTGACATTAACCTGTATCATCTTCAAGTTGCTTCAAGTTGAGAAACATTCATTAATCTCTAGAACCTGACACTTCAGACTTGTAAAAATAGAACTGTAACRTGTTAGTAGAACAAGATAGGGATAAAAATTAACAGATGTTTTCCCAGAATTCATGCAAGCATTTTTGTTATTCAAATACCCATAATAACTAGCAATTATGGGGATGTTTTTTGTAAAATAAATTTAGATTTTCATAAAGCAAGTGAGAATCTAGTGATAGTATTTTAGTGCTAGGATTTTGCAGCAGATGCAGAAGGGAAAGGCTTTGCATTCTGTTYTGTGTAAGGGTTTTGGAATCCAGTGTTCTCTCCATTCAGATGAATGTATAGGGAGCAGGTACGTGAGATGCTTAAGCCTTTAGAAGAATTTAGTTTGCTTAAAGGCAGAATAGATATTAGATAGTATATGTATTAATTATTTAAGACAATTGTATTTGATTAATAATTTGCTTTTTGAAATGGGAGTTGTATGTTTCTTGTAAGGAAGTCTGTCTATCCTGTGAGGTTTTAAGAYGAAATCTGTAGTCTTGCACATTTATGAGTGTATATATCAGTTTGCACTGTCATATTTTTATTTTAAATCTCCATTTTCCATCACAGAAGTCTTGCAGGGGTCGACTGTGTATAACCAGAAGCAGGCTAAAATATGCAAGAACAAGGTTTAAAGAGCTTATGGAACTATTCTCAGTTTATTCTTTGATCGAATGTGTATTGCTTTTTGTATTTTAACCTTATATAAATACATGATTATTCTCTGCAATTCCAGGGCAGCTGAAATTCTCTACTCCTTCGCTTTAGTACAGTCCAGTAAATTTGAGAAGATGAGTGCATTTCCTTCTGTCGATAACTATAAATTGCTGACAGAAGCTAGGAGGAACCTTGGACTCTTCCAACACCATGATGCTATTACAGGAACAGCCAAAGATTGGGTAGTTGTGGATTATGGCACCAGGTATTATAAATACATAAACTTAAATCTTCATTTCCTTTTGCATTTTTAGAACAGAAGTGCTTATTTCAGACATACAGATTTGATTTAGCAACATGCTCTACTGAAAATGTAGTGGTGCTGTACCCGAGAAGTGGATTGATTACCTGTGCCCTTCATTTATGGAATATGTTTTAACCCTCTGARTAAGAATTTGATATCCAAACGAAATGTTGATTTTTCAAAAGGTAGACACATTACTGAGATTTCCCTAACAACAGAAATTTTCTGAGTAACTGCCTATAGGAGAACTTTTTATATTTGTCTGTCTGARGCAATGATCAAAATGTGCTAATTTAAACAGGTATTCCTTGGAAAATTCCATATCCTCTGCAGCCTGCCTTTCTTAAATGAGTAAAATGTTTTTCATGTTGAAAATCTTCTTAACTTGTCTGTCATTATTTATTGTTTCATCTGGTGGGTATTTCTCAGTATTGAGAAATTATTCTGTTAGCTGCTTCATAGAATTTTTTTGAAGAACATGCATGATATAYGGATGTCTGTGTATGCATATGCTTTAAATATAGTTTGTTGAGAAAGTTGCAACATACTGGAATGGTCAGAGCTAGTAAAATTGATTAATTGAGGTGGTAATGGTAGACTGATACTACAGCATGTTCATTAAATAAGTAAATATTTTAAATGCATCTAAAATGCTCTTTCTTTTTAAAACTATTTAATGACAAGTATTTTTAATTTCCATATTTTACTCTAGTAAATCATAGTGATTCACAATGTACTGGGTTATGAGAGAGTRAAATAAAGTAATTTTTCACCTCCCAAATGAAATTATACCACTATCTGTATTTAGGAATTTCTAAACATTGTGGGAATTATAACTATGGAAATCATGGTAGTTTATACAGTTTATATTTTTTATGTCTGTAATTTCTTTCTTAATCCTGTGTAAAGACAATCTTGACTTTGTGACCAGCATTTCAGGCTTGTCTGCACTAGAGAAACTGAAAATCAAATAAGCAAATTATATACTTTCCTAAGGTTAGCATTTTGAAAAAGTACTTGATATTCTGAGGATACACCTTTTGTAGCATAACGGACTGGAGGAGGTGAACCTCACTTTTAGTATGCAAGATGGGAATATAATAGAATTCAGAATATTTCTGCATTTTTCAGGCAGGTCACCCATTGCAACTAGCCATTCTTAATTTCATGCTATATTGATGTTAAAAATTCTATTTTGTTTTTTGCAACATATTCTTGAGTTCTTAAATAACYACATTGAACAAAAACAGCTGAAAAGTAACCGAGACTTTAAATGTTTTAACAGGCTTTTCCATTCAATAATGAACGTGAAGAAAGTGATAGTTGACTCTGTTCATGTTCTTATCCTGAAGGACAAAAGTGCTTATTATTATAACACAGCAACTCCATTCCTGAAGATGGTGAGCTATCTTCCCTGATTCTTTCCAAAAATGAAATGTAAATACAGTTTTGAATACAGTTTGGAAGCCTGGGAAACGTCAGGACTAAATTTGTAGCTAATGCCTTCTCAGAAATCTGCTTCTTGTCACTCTTYGCATTAATGGAAGATATTAGAAAGTAAAAACTGCAACATGTCAGCAGTTGATGATGAAAAAAGCCCATACAGCTAAAGMTTCCACTTGTGAATTAGATAGTAGAAGCAGGTGTTCTAATTTTCTTGTGGGCATGGATTTGTTGGTGACTTACGTGATATACATATGGAAGAGAAAATATAACAGTATGCAGTCCTGCAATTTGACTTGATTTGTAATTCAAGAACTGTGGGAAGAAGAAAATTTCCATCCCTAACAGAAGTCTAACCTTAATTTGCAGGACTAGGTCTAGACAAGAGCTCGTGCTATTTTTTCCTTCACTCAAATTATTTGAAACAGGAATGTTCAATAAATGGATGAGTAAGTCAGCAATGGCTTCTCATGTTTTTTTTTGAGATCTATTTTACGGTGAAGAACACCTTGAAGAAACATACTTGCTAATATTGCTTCCTTTCAGAATTCTTTGTTTCTTCACTTTCTGAGTTACAAAAGTCCTGTGATAGCTTGGAATTCTTAGGAAGTCTACTTAAATGCATTTTACATTGAAGAGAGACAAAATGAGATGCTTTAATCCTTTGTTCAAAAACATGTTAGGGTTAAGATATAATTATCTCACACTGGTGACATAATAAACATGACATATATTTCACTGGTTTAGTTGTCCTAGGTGTGTCACACCTTGAATTATTCCTCTAATCATATGCATATATGAAAAACAAAGTTAAAATAGTTATTTATAACTTTTATGATTGTTATACATATATATATATATATATTCTGTGATTGTTGTGCGAATGTGTGTCACAAATGTGTAATTTTTCTCCTCTTTGGAAAACGAATGTGCGCTTTCATCAAGTAGGAATGTTTTGAAGGCATTCATAGGATGATGTTTTTACTCCTCCTCTGAATTATATTGGAAGATGTTGTCATGTTACATTTTACCAAAATTTTTTTGTTCTTGTTCTTCATCAGTCTGGATTAATACCACTGCGTTGTAGAAGTACTAATTGCTGTTTAAACTGTATGTTGCCTAGGAGCACACTAATCTAATAAGCTACTATTACAACTCTGAAAGCAGAATTTAAAAAGGAAGTTCTTATTTCAATGCATTTATTATGTGTGTATAAACAAAAAATAAGGCAATTACAAAAGTAGATTAAGATTTATCTGTATGATGAACAGTATCTGCAGCATATCATAAATCTAATATCTCTTCTGTGCATTGCATATAGCAACAAAAGCTTTTTAGTGTGGGATTTGTAGGCCCTTAAGAGAAGAACTTAGGACACTTAAAAAGTCTTTGCAAAACTTGAGCAAGCTGAAAGTTCAAAGGCATTTGTTTTGGAGTATAGATTGTGGTGTTTCGGCGCTTGATGGAAGCTGACATCAAGAATTGCTCAGTAATGGGCATTCAGAGTGAATGTGAAGAGAGTGGAGTACAAATGATGAAGGCTCTAAGATTGAAAGTGGCTGTTGTTTTTGAGGAGTAAAGAAGTAAAAAACACTTAGAGGAAAAGAGCACAGGAACATAGCAGCAGGATTCCAGCASGTAGTGGGTACAACCAGGGAGAAGTTCCCCTTCTTGGAGCCAGAAAAAAGAAGTTGGGTGTAAGGCACTATGGAAGGATTCCAGAATGACACTGCTTGCACTTTTTCTACTCTTCTTAATTATTAGTGACACATAAAAGCATCATGTTTTTCTGAACTGATAACTGAATACTTTGTACTTCATATATTAAGTTTTACAAACTCTACACTAGTAAACAAACAAAACATCACTTGGAAGGAAATACACTGTAAAATACATGAAACTTAAAGATCCAACTTTGTTAGATCATGGATGGGATTTAAACTGTAAAAGTAAACCAGTGCAACCATTGCACCATTCCTGTGCATTAATCTTAGTTCTTTCAGTGCAGAGTAATAATTCATCTAAGTGACAATTGGTGGATGTGAAAAACATAATTTTGAGGCTGTTTTGAGGTACTGAGAACTCTACACTTCACTTTCAAAGTCTGTAGTGATCACCATTGTATGAACTGACAAGAATGCACTGTCAATCAACAGTCTTTGGTTGCTCTCCTAGACCACTGCAACAGTGACAGCAAAGTCTTGTCTCTACCTTTTGTCAGTGGAAGTGAGCCCTGCATCACACCACACCACACACACCATACCACGCCACACCCCAAATTATGTTTTTTGAAACATTTCTCTACGTACAATATAAGGTAACAATGAGAGTCTCAAAGGAGACTAGGCAGTGAATCCTAGTGATAATGCGCAGGAGTGTAGTGTTTCAGAGTAGATTTGTAGCAGGAAAGAATTAATAAAAATAAGTATTTGCAAAGTTGGAAGAAATTTGGTGATTATGAAGCCTTGTATCAAAAAATGAAAACACAGGCATAACAATTTGAGAATTGACTCTAGTTAAATCTTTAATGAAACAAACACTCCTTGGTGAATTGGTCAAAGTGGGCCTATTTCTTTCATCGGTGTGAAGTACTTAGTTTATTAAATTTTGTGGTTTTTCATTCTCAATAACGTGCTAAAATAAGTTTTGGATATGGTGTTGTTAATGTGGTTTTGTACTCCACAAAATGCATAAAATAGACAAAGCTCATATATTATGCATGTGTATTCAAAAGCAAATTCAAAGATGTTCTCTTGCAGGACGATGTTCAGGCTTCTCAAGATTCTTTGCCGCGCAAGATAGTTATAAAGTTGACATTGCAACCAAGGTAAATAATTTATGTATTGCTCAGTATCTGAGATTCTTTTAGCAATCTAGCAACCTACTTATTAGGTACTAGTAAGTAATTTTTTATGCCATTYCCTTTTTTTTTCAAATTTCACTGAAAATAGAGGCAAACGTTTAAAAAATTAAAAAAACTTAAAAATAAGTCTGGGATATTATGCTAATACTACTACTGCTATGTTTAATTGAAAGAGGACACGGCATGTTACAACTGTATGCATTGCTCATATACCACAGCTGAAGTATTGTGTTTCTGTGTGCTATTACAGCATCTACTAAGTAGATTGAGAGAAGAATATAGTAGATTATAATTAAACAGAATTACAGGTGCCTCAATTAATTCTGCAAGCAAAATATTACATTTTTAGAAGGCCTAAAAATCACAATTTATAAATACTGTGTTATCTTTAAAAATCAAGTAGGAGATAAATTGGACACAGTTCTCTCTTAACTCCAACTTTCCATTGTATTAAGAGGGCTTACTTTTTTATTTGTATGTATTCAGTTAAAAATGGTACCCTGCTATACCCATGACTACTTAGTATCCAACCTGAAAAAATATACACATCACTGAAAATGGCTGGTATAAATAAAGTGAATAAGACATATGGGTATGAGAGGTACGGTGTGTGTAAATTAAGTAATACAAAGTTTTTGCTTACAGATCAGAAGATTTAAGATTCATTTAAATGGCAGTGAATGCTATTTTTGATGATGTTAGTATTTGATTTCTCTAGTTCTAGCAAGTGGCAAGCTAATAGCACTTACTTGCCTAATTCATGAAGGTGTCCAACTATTCAGCAGACTAGCTGCTACTGTTAAATATATATATATATAATTAAATTCTTTGAAAAAGTGAGTAAAGTTTGGTCCTTGTGAGCTTTTGGGGAAAACTGTCTTCAGTCCTCCAGCACTAAGTATACATAATGTGTCTATATGTAGTTTTAGAATACACTTTTCTCCAGAGCATACCATTTTTTTAATAGGACTTCTGGTCTCTTATTGAAGTGCTATACTGATGCTAATAGATTATCTTAAACTTGTCCAAAAAGGCCAATAAATCRGGTGTCTGTTAATTTTGAAAATGCTAAAATATTTTAGTTACCTAATCTCCTCAGGTTTCTTTACTGGCAGAGGATTGTATAAGTAGCATATAAACACTTGGCTGGAGGCAAGGTGTGATGTAGACTTTCTTTGCCATTTTAGGATAGCTTTATTGCCTTTGCATTTCTTACCTAGGTTAGCTGTTGACATTATCCCTGTGCCCCTCTCATCCCCTAATATGCCTTTTGTTTGCATACAGTGTTCCACTTATGACTGCATAATGTGCTAAGTAAGATTTTTGCTTTTTAGCCCTTACTCATTTTGGACRTTTTCAATTTTTTTTCACCTGCTTTGGTGTACATTAAATAGAAGTACATGACATTACCATTAATATTATTCTAGCGGACTATTGTTACTGTTCTCTAAACTGGTCTTAGCTTGCTAAGAAGATGATACTCGTAGAAAATTGCTAACTGTATGCTGTCTGGTATTCTGAAGAGACYCTGTGGGCATGTAAGGTGTAATTCATGTTCCAAAGACTGTAATCAGAAATATGGGAGGAAGAATGAAGGGAAAAATGAGAAGGAAAGGGCAAAGAAAGATTATAAGTGAATATTGATATTTCTTATTAAAACCCTGGGGGTTTTTTACTTTCTTTTTGGAAACATTTTGAAAGTAATGTTAAAGTATACACTACTTCATGTTTCCCTTTTTGTTAAAATTTTCATTTGAATATCTCTTTGTGAAACTGTAAAACTTTGTGAAACTTATAAAAATGAGCTTAGTCTCTTTATGCTTCTAGCTTTGTCACCACAAACTTTATTACCATTGGAAAAAGTGGTATCTAAGCTCACTCAGTAATTCTTAGTTAAATCTAGCATGTGATTATCACGACTGTGTCTGGGTTTTCTCAGATGAGAGAAATGTTGATTTCTCTTAAAATCAATTCAATAAATCTATATTACTAAGGACTACTATGCTTAAACTTCAAATTTTACATATTTTAAGAGAGAAACTGGCTTTTTCCTTTTAAAATTTTGAGGCATCAGCAGATTTAAAGTACTGATTTTACCAAAACTTTATTAAGTTCATCTTCTGTTCTTAATAGTCTTTATTGTTCATCTATGTATAATTGAATCTCCRTATTTCTTTCTGTTGGAGTGTTCTAATATGGCATTATATGGCATAGAAATTAAATCAGTGTAACTTGCAAGGTGTTACTTTTCTTTGATTGGCTATTTAGCTTTTTCTATTTTTGCATTTCCATGTTAGAATTTAAAAAAAATATCTCTGTTGTCACTTGGTTATTCTTGTGGAAATATAGTTCATGCCACCTGTGAGTTTAGGGGGACACACTGATGGTAAACTCATAATGGCTTTTTAAATCTCAATAATTTAATTTTTTTCCTTATTTTACTGATTGCAAATATAACCAGTTTTCTACAGGGAAATGGTCTATAATGTGCTTTTTGCCTCTTACATCCATCCTTCTTTATGGGTGTTTTTTAGTTAAGTGTTCTCTTCACTGCTCATTAAAGTTGTAGTCAGTGGTGGAAACTGATCTAAGACTAYACAGGAGAGTAACCACTACTCGATTACATGGAAAAGAAAGAAAGCAGGAAAAGTTCTCTTTCAGTAGTTATTGTTCTAGTATGAAGTATGTCCATATTGTTGTGTATTTGAGCAGTGCCTTTCAAACTGCTTTGAAGTAGGTGCCATSTGTAGCCTATTTGGTATTGTTTCTGCCCCCACTGGAGCATCTCTTCTCTGTAGTGCTGTTGTGATACTTTCATAAATCCATAGTTTTATTTAAAAGTCATGTATTAATTTTGATGAAATAGGTATACAGTGTATTTTAAATCTTAACTTTGACTCTGCTGCCACCTTAGAACGACTTAGTGGTCTCATGATCAGGCTTTTGAGTGAAGTTATGGAGTCTTTAATTACACTAAATCCCTTTTAACTGATAAATGAAGTTGCATGCTTTAAAAAAAAAATTACTACTTTCAGCTGAAAATTGAGCTTTCACAAGATAATATCCAACTAGATGTGTAACTATTTCAGTCTTGCTCTGAAGTTTAAAATTACTGCTTGTCTTGGAGACCAAGCCCATGAGTGTACTGTTAAATTGGATGCTGGTTCATACTCTGTGAGTGCCCAGCCCTTTAATATAATAATAGGTTTTTAGGAACAGTCTGCCCAAGGTCATACTTCCTGAATGGCAAAATACTTCTACTCACTGGACTTGGTGGGTGGGGGTGAGTTTGAACCTCTGTGTTTGAATTTCCAGTTCTGGCTGTCGTACCCACTGACTTTGAGGGTAAGTGTTTTCCAGCTGTTTCTATCTGTGCTGTTTCCTGGAGACACCATTGCAGGGGAGCATGGTACATGACSAAATGACTGAATTGATTGTCTGCACCAGCTGGGATGCTGTAATGGTCTTGCTTGGCGCAGTATGGTGAACCTTAGTGAAAAGACCTAAGAATGGCAGTTAGGTTTTTGTTTTAACTCCTGAACCTGCATGTACCTAGTTAGGCAGTTTCAATATTGAGCTCCACTGCACTCTACAAGCATGGTATGAGGCATCCTATCTGAACTGAAGATACTATGGCATTGAAAAAGTCTTTACATTTTTTTTTAAAACCATTCATTGGAATTGTTTTTAGTGCTAAACCAACTATTCTCAGAATTTTCCCAAATAACTTTGGTCAGCTAATCTTAGAGGAACAATAAGATAACCTTCTTATCAGGCAGTTTTATATCTTAGCAGACACTATTTCCATTATCTGAAGTATTTAGGTTTCCTAGGCTATTAATTATAGGAGGATACGCTGTAATCAATTATTTCTTCCAAGATCTGTCAAAGCATCATGCTTTTTAATGATATGCACCTTATAAAAGAAAGTTTCCTTTTTTCAAATAGAGGATATAAATGATCTGGGCTATTATTCTCACCTTGTCATCTATGAACAGATTTTGGCACTAGGCTGTATTTAATAAAATTTTGGCATAAGTTTTGTTTATCCCATTAGGTCCAAAATTTGTGATATTTTTGAGAAAGAAAATCCCAATTTTCCTCTATAATTTTTCAGGTTGCTAATCTTTTWAAAAAATTGTCTTGGCAGGGATATTCACTGCTTTCTCAACACAGCACTATAATGTAGAAATTAAAGCTATATTGCTAACTAATGTGTGATGGAAAATAATGTACATAGGTCAAAAATTCTTGACAAAGTTGTGTTTATGTTACTGTATTTTGTTGGATGATGACAGCAAGGATAACTTGTCTGAGATGGAAACTTTGTTATTGACATGCCATAACTGTAACTTTCTGAGTTTAGAATGTGACTGAATCAGAATAATATTCTTTATTTAGCAACTTTAGTTTTGGCGGTGGTTTTTGTTTCTTTTTTTTCCTCTGTAGCCCTGTGTTATTCATTTTGGTACAAATCTAAACTGTTGTCCAGTGTAGTTGCAAGGAGAGGACCCTGCAACAGCATTTCACAATTTACTAATGTACATCTTAATTGCCTTTTATGCTTACGTGATTTCAGAGGCTTATGTATTCTTAGTTATACTCCAAAAGAGCTGGAAAAAAGACAGTTGAAACTAAGGTATTTCAATTATCAATGAGGAAAAATCCCAAGTTTAAAGAAAACAAGAAAAAATACAGTAACATTTAAGGTATCTTCATAAATATTAGTGGAAATTGTTAATATGCACACATGTTCCCCAAGAAGAAAACAAATCTCAAAAAAGCCAGCAAACAAACCAACATTAACTAAACCAACAGTTTGAGGTTTTTATTTATGAACTAGTGACTGCTCTATGCATAACTTTGTTGTTTTGTTAAAGTGAAACCTTTGTATTAGTTTCTTTACGGGAGGTGGACAGGATGAATAGTCTTTCACTCAGACCTTAACATTCACTGCTTCTATT